GGCCTGTGACATCAGGACAAGAGTGAGCTGGGGTTGCATCAGGGACCCGTGACATCAGGACAGGAGTGAGCTGGGTGATGTCAGGGACCTGTGACGTCAGGACAGGAGTGAGCTGGGGTCCTATCAGGGACCTGTGACATCAGGCCAGGAGTGAGCTGGGGTCAAGCCCAGCCTGGGTAGGTGTGGAGGGGACTGAGACCCTCCTCAGTTCCGTCCCATCACCTGTCCTGGTCCCTCTCACCCTAGGGCCTGAGGACTGAAGGGGAGGATGCTGATGAGGACTCTGAGCACAGCCCAGCAAGACTCCCTTCAGGGGACAGAAATGTGCGAGGGGCGAGCACCAGAAAGTGAATGTCCACATTTTAAAAACTTCTAGCCAGGTGTGGTGGTGCATGCCTGAAATCTCAGTACTAAGAAGCCCGAGGCAGGAGGATCTCTAGAATTCAATGCAAAATGAACCCCCCTCAAAATATTCCTTCAAACGCACTTCACATATCTCATGTTCAAACACACTGATCCCATGATTCTTGGCACGATTCTTGAGTGTCTGTAAAGGTGTGATCAAGAGTACGGTAATTACTGCTGCCAAGTGCCACACAGCGGAAGGGCAGCTTGTAAAAACACGAGGCTGTGTCCTCATCCACCTTATTTGCTGGACCTGGTACCGCGTGACTGGCTCTTCCTCGAGGACGTTGAGGCAGCCAGGACAACACAGCTAAAGACACTCAGGAAAGAGGACTTCAGAGCTGCTGCAGAAATAGCAGCAATGATGGGGTGAGTGCAGAGGAAGGGGGAGCACTTTGAAGGGCTGCACTGTGTCCTCTCAAGGGTCTTGTACTGTAACATTTCTTTTGTTTTTGGTACCAGGAATCCAGCTCTGGACCTTGTGCTTGCCAGGCAGGCGCTTATGCCACTGAGCTATCTCCCTGGCAAACATATCTTTTTAAACCTCAAACGTTCGCCGAGTCTTTGGTCACACCCTGTATTGGAAGGGTGCTGGAGCTCATTGGCTCAGGACGACAGGAGACGCCGTCCGGAGTGGCCGAGTCTGCAGCTGGTGGGAACGGCAGCCTTGGGCCAGGCTTTCTTTTCCTCTGAATCAAAAATCAACATTTTATTTTTAGAGTGGCTTTAGGTTAAGAGAAAAACTGAGCAGGAAGTTTCCAAATCCCTCCTCAGCGTCTTAGGGAGCCCTGACTACTGGAGACCTTGGAGGCTGAGGAGACCCAGTGCCCCGCTGCGCCAGACTCACCCTCAGGCCCGGTCCGCAGTGACACAAGGACCCTGCCACGGCCCCACCCGGCACAAGCCGCCTGGGACCAAGCCCCCGACCCGGGGAGACCTGGAGCCCGGCGCCCTGCAGCCCGACCCCTCCAGTGCAGGCCTGCTCTTGGTGGGGGGCCATCTCCGAGGCCTGCGGTTTCCTGCGCACGGGCCTTGCCTCTCCTGCTGATGGCCTCTCATTCTTGTCCTCGGCTGTCACAGCGCTGGGCACGCTCCGAGCCTGTGTGCCTGCCCCGCCTCTCGGCTGCTGTTCTGACTGTGCTGAGCGACTCCTTGATCCTCTTCCTGTCTCCTCTCACCCCGCCTGGGCTCCTCCTCCACTTTCAGGCGCACTCAGGGGCAGGGGCAGAGGTGGCGTGGGTTGTGGAACCGGCACCCTCTGCTCTGGGGCAGGGAGCGGAGCTGGGACGCCCACAGGGACGGGAGGGAGCCCGGGGCCCACACTGCTCAGGCCTTCCAAGTCCCCAGAACAGACCTCGGTCCCCAAAGGTCTCGGAGAGAAAAACCCGCGTGCTTCGGCCCGCTGTGCACCCTCATGCCAGTAGACTCCCCAGGAAAGACCTTCCTCCAAGCGCTTTCTGTTTTGTTTTAGTTTTGAGATAGGATCTCGCTATGTAATTCAGACCGGCCTTGAACTCACTATGTAGCCCAGGCTCGCCTCAAACTCATGGCGATCCTCCTGCCTCCGGCTTCCGAGTGCAGGGGTTACAGGGGCGTAACACTGTGCCAGCTCACTGCGCGTTTGCAGTTGCCTTCGCTTATGATAATGTCCTGCAGACCCATAATTTGGCAATGCACATATAACCAATTGTTTTAAAAACAGAAGTGACACTGGCTATTATAATGGAAACTGTGTTCTAAATGAAGGAATTAAAGGAACGTAATTGGGGAAGTATACAAACAGTGGTTAATATGCTGTTTCTTGCAAAGACACATTACAGCTTATAATCTTCCTTTATGGGTGTGTTGTTGGTGTGCAATCAGGCGTGTGGCTGTGTTCAGGTGTTGAACCGTTCCATTAGCGGGGAAACTGCACTATTATTTGCCGAGCTGTTTATGCTACAATGTTGTTGGCTCTCGAGTTTCTTTCTCTCCGAGCTCCTTGCTCTGGTCTCTGCAATCTGCGTGATTCTCTTCCCTACTTTTGTCTTTTTTGTTGTTGTTGGTACATTTTATTTTATTTATTTACTTATTTTGGTACCGGAAATCCAACCCAGGACCTTGCGCTTGCCAGGCAGGCGCTTGTGCCGCTGAGCTATAACCCCAGACCTGTCGGTACATTTTCGATTCCCGTAAGGGTCATCTTCATCATAGGGGACGAGCTCCTGTCCATGGTGATCTTGTCTCTTCTTTTTTCCCTTTCCTCTCCCTTCCCTTCGGCCCCTCTTCTCCTCCTTATTTACAAAGCTTTGTTTCCATTTTCTTTCTATTCCTTTTTCCTTGTCCCTTCTTTCCTCCCTCACCTCACCCTCTCATTTGGACATTTCCTTCCACTCTGCCATATCTATTGGTCCTTATTTACACTTTCGTTTTCTCCACCAGAGAAAGCACGCAGTATTTATGTGTGTGCATCCCATTTATTTTGCATAGGAGTATGGTCTCATGGTGCACCCATTCACCTAGAAATGCCTCAAGTTTATCCTTTCTATGGCTGAGCAGTACTTTATTGTATGAAAAATTCATCTTCTTTATCCATTCATCACTTGATGGGCATTGGGGCTGTTTCCAAGATTTAGCTACTACAAACTGTGCTGCTATATACATGGGTGTGCATATATTGCTGTGGGATGATGCTTTCAGTTCTTTTGGGAAGACATCAAGAAGGGCAATATCTGGGTTGAATAGAACCTCTAGTTGTAGTTTTTTAGGACTCTCCATGCTGATCGCCACAGTGGTCATACCAGTTGACACTCCCACTAACAGTGGAGAAGGGTTCCTTCTTCCCCATACCCCATCAGCATTTGTTATTGGTGGATTTCCTGATGACAGCCAGTTTTTCTGGGATCAGATAAAATCTCTATGTTTTTTTCTTTTTTCTTTTTTTTTTTTTGAGACAGGGTGTCACTGTGCAGTTCAGATTGGCCTCAAATCCTCGGCAGCTCTCCCCCCTAAGCCTCCTGAGTGCTGGGATTGCAGGTGTGTGCCGCCACGCTCAGCTCTCAGTGTTGTTTTAGTTTGCACCTCTCAAATGACCAGTGATGTTGAACATTTTTTCATCTATTTATTTGCTGTTTCTCCTTCTTCATCTGAGAAGTGTCTATTCATTTCAGATACCCATTTTTGGATTGAGTCTTTAAATTTGAGGGGCCTGATTTCTTGAGTTCTTTATACATTCTCGATAGTAATCCTTTGAGGAACAGCTGGCAAAAATTTTTTCCCGCACTGTGGGTTGTCTCGCTATGCTGTTGGTGGTTTCTCGCGCTGTGCAAAAGCTTCTGAATGAGGTGACATCCCAGTTGCTATTCGTGATAGTTCCTGTGCAACAGGGGTGTTGCTCATGAAGTCTTTGACTGCACCTATACTTTGAAGAGTTCTGCCTATTCTATCTTTCAGCAGATTTACTTACTGTTTCTGTTCTAGTATTTAGATCTTTGATCCATTTTGATTTTAGTTTAGTGCATGGTGACAGACAGCTCTAATTTTAGTCTTCGGCATATGGAAAGCCAACTTTATTAAAGAAACTATCTTTTTTCCAGTGACGGTGTTTGGCTTTTTTGTCAAAGATAAGCTGGCTGAGTATGTCTGGAGTTGTGTCTGCATCTTTTATTTATTTATTTATTTATTTATTTATTTGTGTTTTTGAGACAGGGTCTCACTATGCAGTTCAGGCTGGTCTTGAACTCGCTCTGTAGCCCAGGCTGGCCTCAAACTTGCAAAATATCCTTCTGCCTCAGCTTCC